ACTGGTCTTTTCACAGTTATGGACTCTGGTGAACTCCGCTGTACATTAACCTTATTAAAAAATCAGTTCATTATTTGACGTTTAATAAGGCTGTTCAAATAACAAAAATGATATATCCAGTAAATTTTAAATATCTTCGATCTCAATGAAAATTAATTTAAATATAAGTTTTTTTTTCTGCGAATATAATGAACAATTATTATTTATATTGAAGAAATTGATTTTCGAGAATTTTTTTATGAGTTTTTTGCTTGAGTATCATTTAGGAAAGTAATACAAATCATTTTATTATGAAATAGGCACTATTAGATAAGATATTTATCTATTGATATTTATCTAAAGGTAACGTAAATTATCCTGGCAATAGTCGTCTAAATAGCTGTAAATTATTGCTTTCTACGTTAAATAAGAAACCTGGTTGCAAATTTCAGTGAAAACAGATTTACCGAACGAGAATCCAAAATGATAAAACTTTTTTGCAAATTTACTGTAGGAGATCCTTTTTTTTATCAATCAAATTATGATGTAAGAATTTTCGTAAGGAAAAACAAAAACAGGAGTACCATTCGTTAGATTTTTCGACATTTTCGCTTCAGACTTTTAGTTGGCAAATTGAACAAAATAAGCATTTATGCGCTAATAACTTTTTGAAAAATGCTAAGATCTCCTCAGAATTTTTCTGGACTAGTTGTAAACATTAAAGCTAAGCATTTTTGCAATAAGTAGAGGCTACCGTTCTTCAGAATTTTTTGCAAAAAAAAATGAAACTGGCAAATTAGCGTCTAGAGAATTAGAAAAAAAAAAAGAACAAAGAAATATGTTATGGATTTTTACAAAAGTGTTTCAATTTTTATCTCTTTCGATGCTTTATGATAAATATTGCATAATGAAAAAGAAAATTAATTGAAAATTCAATTTGCAGAAAAATATTTGCAAAGAAACTGAAGAAAGTTAGGGTTGTCATTTTTTTGCCAATATATATTCAAAAGACAAATTCTGAATATTCGATTTTAAGCCTTTGATAGTTTTTTCGGGAGTTAATGCAAATATCGTATTTCATGAAAATTTTGTAACAAATAACGAATAATTAGATTCAAAAGTTTTTACTGAAAAATCATAAAAAATTAGATTGTAGAATTTTTACCGAGAATTCGAAGATAAAAGTAGACTTCTGGATTTTTTGCAAAACAAAGTGGGAAAAGAATTGTGTTGAATTTCCTTCAGCGAAAATTCGAAGAAGAAAAAAGGAAAGAATTAAAAAATGTAAAATATAGCATAGAATATCTTTGAATACGAATTAGGTATAAAAAGTATTTAAAAAAAAAAAAGAAAAAAAATCTGAAATTTCAGATGGAATTATTTTTCAAAAGGATCAAGAAATCTTTTGCAAAAGATCTAGGGAATCAATTCGATCCAGTAGGTACATAAAATGAAAACAATAAAAATTCCAACAAATTAGTCGTTCAAATTTAAAAATTCTAAAATTTCTACGAGGATTGAACGAAAATAAAATGAAATTGGAATTGAAATTTTTGACGTATTTTCTCATTCAGAAAAAAAAGAAACCATGCATGTATATAGAAGAAAAAAAAAACACTTTTAAATGAATTTGCTTCGAATTTTCTCGTTCCTGGTGTAGAAATCTTTCACGCTTAAATCCAAGTGAATTTATCATTTGTTAGGAGCTATTATTATAAACTGTCCCGAGTGATATAGCATAGTTATTTACAGAATACGAATAATTCATAGCTATTCATCGCGAACGACTGAATAACCGCTTTTGCCCCCCTTTTTTTCGCTATAAAATCAACAACAACAAATAAAAAATAAGCTTTTGTACTTAGGAGTTATTCTGAACAGATAATTGTAATTATCTTTTGTAAAACGTTCGCTGTCGGTCACGCGATATCGAATGCTGAATCGTCATTGCTAAATATCGGACCACGCGTTATCGCGTGCCGGATTGTCAATGCTAAATATTCGATCACGCGATATCGCGGGCTAGATTCATAACGTTTAAATGTCCTGGCACGCAGCGACTGAACAGCCTCACGGACCTGGCAGCAAACGTGTCATGTGTATATTTCGTTTTTTATTTATATTAAACTTTAAGCAAATAGATACACTTGTAAGTGGATAATTATTTGTTTTTATTAAACAATTAAAAACACTTTTCTCTATGGTGTGTTCTGAGCATATTATTTAAGTGTTCCTTATTATTATTATTTTTTGACGAATGGTTGAAATACATGTGATAAGTAGTAAATAAGTATTACGTTGAAGTAATAATTATGATTAATTCGATTTCTGGTTTGGTCATAATTATTATCCACTTACTTGTGATTTTATTTAATATAGGAAAAAGGAAGTACGTTTTTCTAGAAATTTTCTAGAAAGTAGAATAGTTATTTCTTTTATGGTAATAGAAACATAGAATGAATTTCTTATAGAACCTTTATTTTCAATAATAATTGCATAATTAATTAATTGCTGTGGACAATTATCTGTACAGATTGAACTTTCAAAATAGAACAAGGAAGAAAACATTACAAACCGTTTGCAGTCAAATGTAAAATGTATTATTTATAACAAAAACGAACTATGTGAATTTTTGTAATTAACACTTTACTGGCGGGAGAAATTAACTTCAGATCGTACACTCAGAGCGGGCCGAGAAAACCGAGGAAATATTAAAAAGACGTAGTACTACGTTACCCGACAGGAAAGTGTTAATGTATTTTTCCTAACGTGTTAATTTTTTAATTATACAAAAGGAAAGAATTATTACAGACCTGTAAACAATAAATAATTAAAAATTGTACAAGACAATTGTGCGATACTAAGAAAAGCAAGAAACTTTGTATTTTCAGCAATAATTAATTATTTATTGTTAAAATAGATGCATGCGATAATTATTAATCAAAACTTTTGGACTGCAAATGGTTCAGAAATTTATTGATAAAGTTCCTTTATCGATTACATATTGAATTGCTTAAATAATTTAATCATTTCCTTGGTCGATTTTTTAATTAAGGAACAAAAGTTACCGTGATACATATTAAATTATTTCATTAATTAATCAATTGTTTGATAGCAAAATTTTTGTAAATGTTTCCAAATTTTTGTTGTCAGCCGATTGGTAACAAAATGTTCAAATTTTGTGTTTTTTCAAGTTCCTATTTTTATTTAATTTTCAGTAAAAAAATTGTAACAATAAATGATCATGTTTTTTTTATTCGATTTGTGACGCTTTTATGTATGCTTGGTAAAACCTGGACACATTTTATTCATTAACATGTAAATAGCAGAAAGAAATTAACACATTATGCTATTTGTGGTTACATATTTTTTTGTTACTTTATTTCTTTTCATGTTGTAATAGGAAAGTTTTTTTAATTTCAAAAAATAATCTTTTATGATCTTGATACTTTATAAAATTTATAATTTCAAAAATTAATTATTTACTGAAATAAGTGCTAATGGTGGAAACCTTAAATAAATAAAGAAAAGGAATGTGATTTTATAATTACACTTGTTTCTTATGATTGGAAAAAGTAATTATATAATTGAATTATAAATTGAATGAATTAAATCGAAATTTTTTTTACTCTGTAGTTATGAATCTTTGTAATAAAATAAAGAATTAAAGATGAACAGTATTTATACTTACATGTGACATAAATGGGTGTCCACAATTGTAATAATTAAAGTATTAAACTTGAAACAGTATCATAATTATTTATTAGCAAAATTATTCCTCTTATAATAAAAAATGAAAATGCAGACCTTTTAATTTTTCAATTAAAGGAAACTTATATTGTAACGTTCAGTTCTTTGCAAATCGAATAAAAAAAAAGAACAATTCAAAAATCAAATACATACATATACATAATTGATTATTATATTAAAAGAACATCGCTTTGTTTTTAAAGGAACACATTGCACGATTGTTGCATATAAAACATCATGAAAGAAATTAATTAAATTTATGTAAATCCAAGATTAAGCGCTTCTGTTTTCCTTTAAAATTTTCTATCAGGTCGAACTCCCATTTTAAAATATAAACATAAACAATACATAGAGAAACATTTTTCTTGGAAAAGAAAAATCTGTTTCTGAAAGGTATTTAATATAGGTAACTAGCATAATTAGAACATTGATATGCATACACGTGCAAGTACGTGAATTTGTTTACCATAGTTCTTCATGGTTTTTGGTATCGTGTATCCGTAACAGTGTTCTAATTTGCGTGAATTGTATGCGATCTTTTAATTGTCAACGAGAAGATATCAGTGAATAAAGATATTCAAATTTGTACGTCAGCCTCGATATAGTTATTTCATGCTTTTTATATTCGTCATAATTATTTTCAAAAAAATTAATAAGGAGCCTACAAAGTAAAAAGATGAAATATTAAATAAAACTGTCGTTTTAATTCATTTTTTGAGTTAACGAGTGATTAAAAATGAAGTATTTAATAAAATAAGAAAGATACGTTTTATGTCAAATGTTAAATATTATGTAATTCCCAGTAATCAATTAATTGATTTGCTGTGGGACAGATATTGTGAAATAGGAACTATATTTTTTAAGTCTTCCTCTTTCTCTCTCTTCACTATTTTCTTAAGCAAGAAGTTTTTTTTTCTATTTTGAATTTTCTTTTCTCTACATTTAGAAACCTTTTTGTATTTTTGGATAAATCATCTCACTGGAAAACTGTATGTAAAGTAATGTTAATAATTTTATAAAAACAGAAAAGTGAAGAATTGTACAGTCACGATAAAAACAGTTAGATTAACTAAGAACGTGGAACTTACATTACATTCTGTAATGTTAATGAATTTTTTGGGAACTATGGTAATAGGTACCAATCCAAATATTATACAATTTTAAGATTATTTAATTTTAAAGTAATGTATTAAAGAATTTCTAGATTCAGAAGGGGAAGTATGAAAATATAGATACATGGATATTACTTTATCACTTGAATATTACTTTAGGTCGAAGGGTACGTCGCGGCAGGCCGCGGCTTGGAACAAGGGGTGGAAAACATGGATCCCCATCGATGCAAAGCAACTCACCCTCGAGGAGTGAATGGCTACCCTTGGATATGAGGACTACACCTCCTGCTGCGATGCCTGCTTTCCGTGGTTTCGAGGAATCTTCCTCCGATGGCGTGGTAATTTTCATTTTTTTTAATTTTTTCAATTTCAGAATATCGAATATCAGGCATCATTTGATGACGTATAAATATTATAAAGTAACCCTTGTATCGTGTTGATTTGAAGTTTGAAATTTTATGAAAATGAATACCTAGTCCTAGCATTAATATTTTTAACCCTTTGGTTACCAAGAGTGACTATAATTACTCAAAAAATTATATTATTCTGTTTCTAATTCACTTTTAATATTAATATCGTCAAAATAAAAATTTTGGAAACCCTCGCCATTTTTTCTAAGAAAGCCTACTTTGATCGATACAGTGTCATTGTTTTTTATATATTTTTTTAAAATGTTATTTTCATATTAAAAGCAGCCTCTTGAATGAAAATTTGCCTTAGCAATTATGCATAGTAATCGTTCGAGTAATTAAGTCATTCGCCTATTTACAAACACCTGTCATCGCTAGGTGCACTTGGGGGAAGGGATAGCAGTTTGCGAGGAACAACTAAGGGCTGTGAAATGGAGTGATTACAGAAAATTGACTCGTGGTCTGGCAGCAATTTTATTCAGCCCCACTGAGTTGGCCACATGTTCAGTCACAGGACAACGATGGAGTCGGGCTGGAACTGCAACTGAAAGACCGGTGAAACCTGCGCTAGATAAAGCCAAGGTACAGGCTATCATATGTAAGTATTATTACCAATATTTTTTCAAGGATGAAGTTCCGAATACGACCAGTCGCCGATCAAGGTGAAATTTTGAGGGAGAGGGGGGAGGGAGGAGGGGACCCCAAATATAAAGCGGTATCTTCGACTTCCTATTAGTTTCCGAGATATTAATCAAAAACTTTCGTACAATACATAGAATTTTTCCTATACAGACGTAACTAACACAACCGTCTTCGCTGTAGTAAGCTGACATCGTCAAGTGTCGAACAGCTGTTGACACAGCGGGGGTTCCAACCTGACTATCTATAGGGTGTTCTATTCAAAACTTTGGAGATACGACGACGGTTGTAGCGATGCCGGCCGCCTTCCGGCGGCCGGAAATTTATCTAGCCTGACCTAACCTACGAATAAATCAAATGTGTTTAATTCCTTGAGAATTAGTAATAAAATATAAAACATAACGTAATATAACTAAAAAAATGGATTTTACATGGAATACCCTATAGAAACGGAAACCGATATCGCTATGGTGTGAACGGCTGTTCAACACTTGAGGATGACGGTTGCTACAGCGTAGACCAGGCCTGTCCAAGTAGGGGAATCCACTCCTGGAACACATGTTTTGGGACCCCTTCCAAAGCTGCTCCTTCAAGTAAGATGGAACGGTTCCGACTACCAAAGACGGTAGGAAAGACGGAGAGACGGTAGTCGGAACCGTTCCAACTCACTTGAAGGAGCAACGTTGGAAGGGGACCAAAAACATGTGTTCCAGGATTAATTTCCCCTACTTGGACAGGCCTGGCGTAGACGGTAGTGTTAGTTGCGTCTGTATAGGAAAAATTCTATATATTGTACGAAAGTTTTTAATTAATATCTCGGAAACTAATAGGAAGCCGAAGATACCACTTTATATTGGCGTCCTCTCCCCCCTACCCCTCGAAATTTCATCTTGATCGGCGACCGGTCTTATTCGGAACTACAGCCTTTTTCAAATATAAATAATTATTGGACCACTGTTAGATGCACATACCTGTCTACTAGTGATGTGCAGCCCGACTAATGAATGAGTCGACTTCCCGACTAGTCGGGTCGGTTCGGAAAACATCGGGCGGGCTCGGGCGGGCGTCCAATACATGCGTGCAGTCGAGTAACCCGACTATTTCGGGTTCGGTCGGGTACAGTCGGGCAGATTCGGACGAGCTCTCGCGGGCTGCGACCCAACTCTGTGAGTTGCATTGAACTTGTAGCCAACTTCACTGCGACAAGTTCAATGCAACTAACAGTACTTGTTAATATTTGCAATAAGCATGTGCAAAATCGGTTTTATATGGAATTTTGGAGTAAGATAATTTTTATTATATGGAAAAATAAAACTTGTAACGAATTGCAAGTATTAATAATCGGCCCGCGGGAGCTCGTCCGAATCTGCCCGATTGTATCCGACTGAACGCGAAATAGTCGGGCTACCCGACTGCACGCGTATATCGGACGCCCGCCCGAGCCCGTAATATCGGCTACCTGCACATCGCTACTGTCTACTAACTTCATGTCAAATAAATATTGATATTAGAGGTGTACGAAAATTCGAAAATATCAGGTCAAGTTTGTGTCTGCATTATTCGAGTCAGGTTGGGTCGTTGTGACTCGACTCGACTCGGTTCGGTTTGGCCCCGGGTAGGATCTGGTAAAGCTGGGTACAGACGAGCGCGCCGCGGCTGCAACGCGACAGCAACGAGGCATTGCAAACTGTGCACGGTGTTTCGTTTTTACCACGAACACGCGCCGCGCATAGAACGAACCATAAATTTCAACGCGCATTCGCCATCAGTTCAATGTTTTCGGTACTTGGGCTCGAACGCGGCACACCCGAAGAAAACTGTCCACACTGCAGCAAGGAACCCCTTTGTGTTCGCGCAAAAGACCGACAGAAATTGGTTCGTTGTGCGGCATTACAGTATTGCCGCATGGCATGTTCGCGCTACCGTCCAAACAAACTTCGCCCAAATACTATGCGTTGCAGCTAAGTTGCCGTCCAATCAAATTCGTTGACCTGCCTCCAGTCACACGTATTATGTTTATTGGCTGAGGCCCTTACATCCACAAATCTATCGCGTGACGAACGTCGCCAAGGACAGACATTGAAACAGAATGAGATGAAGCGATAGCGAGCGGCGAGTTGAATGCATTAGCGTAGAGGTAGATTCAGGGTTTACATTATTAAGAAAACAGGTGAGTTTTTACACTTTTCATAATGTAATTTCCATAAATTTTGCATAATAACAACTGTTGTCAAGAACGAGTATTATAAAAAATCCATTAATATCCCGAAAAAATCGCATGTTTATATAGTTAAATGTATCTTCCGCGAATATGGAAATTTTACGCCTATGCAATCTGGCCGCTCACTTCTCAAGTTACGGGTCCCTGGAGGGGATTAGGTGGAGCGAACACACAGTCCCCTTGCCCCTTTGTCGGTTCAGTTTGTGGGTGCTCGGCAACTTAGCTGCAACGCACAGTACATACGTTCGTTCCATGCCGCGTTGCTGCCGCGTTGCAGCCGTGGCGCGCTCTTCTGTACCCAGCTTAAGGTCGATCCGGGTTAAGTCGAGTTGTCGAAAGTTTAGAAGTAGGAGAACTTAACAATTTCGGATACCCGATACCAGCATTTTCCAGAATCCGATCCGAATATCGGGTACCCGAGATTTTGATAGGGGGTTAAAGTAAATGAGTAAATGCTGAATAAGTGCAAGAAAAGATTGGCTACATATACCCTCCACGTGAGGGGATCCCCCTTGGCGAACGGAGACGCTCGATGAGGAAGCCGTGTAATATGATCCGAAATGCAATATCGGCGGTGTGACTAATACTAATTCAATGATAAAATTTTTCTATTTTTCACTTTTTCTTAATGATTATTAACGCATTTGTGAGATTTTTCTGATTAAAATGAGACCAAACACGATATAGTTTTAATAATGTTTATTTATTAAATATTTATAACAAAGTACTAAACTTGTCAATGGATTCATAAACTTATTGTTGCCACGGTTCAGTTCAGAATATTTCTGAGCTGCGGAATTATTGACTGTAATAAATAATAAAACAAATAACATAGAATCGATACCTCGGCTGGATATATGCAATGTGTTCGGACATAAAATCGATACCTTGGCTGTATGCAGTGTTATTTGGGTCCTAATCTTTCTTACATTTATCCAGGTTTTACTGTAAGTACTTGATAATAATGGTGTCGGAATGGTTTGGGAATTCTGGACGCGTGAATGATAAAACGCAGAGTATATCTTCATTTACGTATCTGTATTTGAACTTTTTAAATTACAAAAGTATAAGTTGCATCAAAACTCGTCTCGTAAATACAGTCGTCTAGCGCTTACAAAGCGCAGACCACGCTAGTCGCCTTGGTGGGGGAAGACAGTGGAGAGGGAAAGAGCGAGGAACGCTTATTCCAACAAATGGAAATTTAAGAAAGCATAGATGAATATTGGAAATTGTTGTTGGATTATTTAGGGCGAAAAGATTAAACGAATAATCGTTCTTTGTATTACAAATATGCTGTTTTTATTTCGTACAAATCTTGGCAGAGTCCTTACTGTTCTACGATCTAAAATGAAGTGCGGCGGACCGAGAGACCCAAACCGTTATCTCACGAAATACGAGACGAAGAACTCACACACACGCACGCGCAGTCGTCTTACATAGTAATAATCTAACAGAAATTTGAGAAACACATCAAGGATTATTTATTAACAAATATTTGACACCTATTAGGACAAAGTTTGACCAGTTTTAAATTATTCCTCGAAAACAGTGGTCACTAGTATTATCGTAGTATCAGATTTATTGCATTTCATTAATATATATATTTCATTGAAATTTTTTAAGCCTATGTGACATCGAGGTTTCCCACAGTGGACGTGAGCAGTGTAAAGCAAGTATTGGCTTACAAGTGCAAAGAAAACTCGACGGCACTCAAGATGAAATCTATTAGATACATTTGGTGAGTATAATTTAATTTTACTCTTTATTCTATGATTTTTTCAACCATTATCCCTTTTACTATAAAAAGGACATGGGAAAAAAATGCATATTTTTAATATATGCAAGTATCGCTCACGATTTATAGAAAAAAAAACCATATTGAACGATGCATCGCTAGATAACTGTCTCAGATATGTATGTATGTATACAAAAATCATAGGGGGTCAATTAATTAGAAGGAGATTACTATATCACTGCTTCTTCTATAAAGTGAATTATCTACATTCTAGCAACGATTAAATAGAAAAATAAGAAAGAAACAAAAATCTGGGAAGGTTGATGATATCTGTTCACAGTGAGAGACAGGAAACAGAAAGATTACCGAGAGCAAATCCAGAGGATAAGTGAAAGGTTATAGGGGTGCGTTGAACGTGCAACTAAAGCCATTTTCGAAGAACATCGCAGCGTTCATTTGACTCTGGTGATTTCTAGCGACTATCCTTTCCGCTTCGTCCTTTCTTCGCCGTCACCTGTTCAACGACACGTTAAACTATGACTCTTATTAATTAGGCTGGCCATGCCTTGTTACCGTATACAGCCTTCATACACCTCAATTGAATTGTTTAAAAGTTTCAGCTGTAAGGTCCAAATAATCGTTGACAAACTGAGTTGTTTTCAACATTCTATCTACATTGGAACCATGAAATAGTAGGATTAATTTGTTAAGTTTTATAGATCGGTATATGTAACGAGTAAAGTCCAGGATCTGGAATATCTTTGAGAGTATGGAAATGAGAGAAACGTTTCCTTGGTTCAACGGATAGCTGTAAGTAAAGTTGCGAGAATCTGAATTTCGGGACCGGAGGGAATACATACTTTTGGTAGGATCGAGTCCGATCTCACCCGAAGTTAGCCGTTCTTACTCGATCTCGGCTAAGTTCAGGATCTCGCACACGTCTAGTTGTAAATTGTAAAGTATACTATATGTTGAGATGACAAAGTAAGGTAGACGGTGTACAATTTTTTAAAAGAATCGTTTCTCTGACGCCTATAATCTCAGATATGTTCGATTTATTCGATATTTGGACTTAAATTAATTAGTGCTATTGGAATCTGGCGAAGAACCCTTTTGAAGCCTATAGAAAGAAATTCTAACCTAGAATACAAAAAGTAACGATCGAAATTGCAGATTTAATAATGTTGAAATATACTGTTGAGTTTAATTGGGAGTAACTTGCAAGAACGGATGAAATATAAATAATTTAGCGGAAAATATTGGATATAAAAGTCGGTTTAAAAACACTAAAAGAAAGGGAGAAAATGAACGCGGCATATTTGAATAAAACCATCCTCGAAAGAAGACCGGAATGAAAAATCGTGAAACGATGTAAAATTTTCAAAAGGGAAAGGGTAGAAAAACAGAGGAAAATTTCGTTAATAATAATCGTAACCACTTATTATTAACGAAAGAAGATTTCGTTAATTATTAAGAGTAAACGGATATAGCACTAGCGACCCCTTAGAAAGGCATTAAACAAGTTAATTAGGATAATAAAGGAACGGATTGAATTTATGCCTGATTAATTTTTAATTAACTTTATACTAGGGAGAAAAACTAATACAATTTATGTTTCTTTATAATGAAAGCTTAAAAAAAAAAAGGAAGAGTTGAATGTTGAATCGGTAAGGGTGTTATTAAATCAAATAATACCAAGATTAGTAACAAAAAAAGAAAACAGGCAGAGTTATTAATGCTTAATATATTGAGAAACGTATCTTTCGTTTAGTTAAATGTTTATATTACAGACATGTTGAAGAAATAAAAGTTGAATTTTAATTATTCACATTTTTAAATTATCTTAAAGAAATTTAATTTCTAATTCAATCAGACATTGTTTTATTATCACGTTTGTAAATAGTTTATCAAAAATTTTTAACGATATTAATTTTATTTGTTGTTTATCATATTAAAAGTTCAATTACTATCTTTTTTTTCTCGCTAGTTTTCTGTAACAATTTAACGCAACTGTTTACAAAAATTTAATAACGGTAAAAAGGAGAAAGAAAAAAGAAAAACTACCGGAATACAAGGGTAGTCACTTTCGTATAGATAAACGCCTAAGATTTAAACAGATAAGTAGACAAATGAACGGAATAATTAAAGAAATGATAATATTCATTTCTTAATATAAATATAAATATAAATAAATGAATGAATAAATAAATTCATATTTTGTGTATGTATATGTATACACACATACAGAGATAAAAGGTGTATGCAGATACATACGCATGCATATATTAATTATATTGAATTATTATTATTAACGAGAATAGATGAGAACTTATATATTATTTGTTGGGAGAGCATATATTATACGATATTTAATATATTTAGGATATTTATTTGTTGATTTGGTGATAATATATATATATGTACATATATATGCATATATGTATATGTATATAAATATAGATAAAAGATATATATATATATATACATATATATATATATATACACACACATAAATAGTTAAATAATTTTTACAGGGCCTATGAAAGGTTTAAACAAACGAAACATGGTATTTCGACGGGGAAAAAATCGATTGATCAATTTCATGATTTAAATTTTATTTTATTTGCTTAATTAATTAATTAATTAATTAATTTTCCGTTTTCTTACTGAGATCGAAACGTTGTTTAAATTTTTTCTTGGGAAATCAGAATATTCTTATTGCATTTGATATTTTATGTAAATTAATGTTTATTCAGAAACGTGTAATTAGTATATTGGAAAGAAAAAAGTGCAATTAATTATTGTTAGATAATTGGTAATTAGTAAGCAAAGCCTATAATAAAATATTTATAGAGTAACGCGAGGCCTAACAAATACGCGTTAGAAGATATTGTTATTCAATTTTAATTCTTAACTCGTTCGATATTAAGTTTGAGAAGCAGGTCGGTCGCTGCTTGCCACAACGTTTGAACCCCGTGTATTCAGCCCGCGATATAGCGTGATCTGCAGCAGGCGTGTTAAATAAATTTGAAAATTAAAATGTATCGATCTCGGTAAACTGTTTTAACAAAAGTATTTTTTAGACGTTTTATTGATAACTAGTGCAATATACCTATGTGAATTTTTTCTTTAGGAAATTCTTTTAGAAATAATATACGCATTTCGGGCACTTTTTACAATTTAACAGATTTATCAAATTTTAAACAAATTTTAAACAAATTTTTCTTGTTGTATCTATAGATAAAATTTTCATTATTTATTTGAACGTTGCAGAGTAAAATGTATAGATAAGATTATTAATAATTAAAACATTGTTGTTTTAATTAATTGTCTGTTGTTTATCAAAGTATTAAAAGTTTCGTATAAGTCATGCAATTAAAAAATCGATTGATTGTGTAACAAAAAAAAAAAAAAAAGAAATATCGACGTTGAAAATTTGAACAGAAATTTTACACGTAAGAAGATAATGAACTTAGCAATAAATTTTCTAAACTAGTGAGTAGTATTCGAAGATTACCGCGGGAAAAAGAAACAAATCTTTAAATTCGAACAATGTTTTCGAACATTCGTACGTTTTAAATGAAAGTTATTCGAGGAAATAGTTCGTTTTTACTGTCATTAACTGACCATCGGAACAGACGTAAATTGCTTGTAAATGTCTAGTCAAATAAAACAGGAGAAGAAAACAAAGTTTCGAGCAATATGTTTTATAAAAATTTTTCAAAAAACGCGCAAATTATTTTTGATTTGGTAAACGATAACTGTAATTTGTAGTTCAGGAATTTTGCCACAAAATTTTGTTAAATTAATTAATTGTTAAAACCTTTCTTCATTTCTTTCTGTATAAAATTATTGATAAAAAAATTTATTTTCTGTTGTTGGTATTCTAATTGTTATGTTTCTTAATAAAACTAAAATGATTTGTAAATAAATTAATAATATTACTAGTAACAATAATTGTTATTATAATATATTGTGATTTATAATAATAATTATTGTTACGTGATTAGAGGTAACGAAAGAAACCTTTGTGATGAATGGTTGCATTAATAATGAATAATTAACAAATGATTAATCAACGCGTCCGTATGAGCTTTAATTACAATTGTTAATTATTGATTATGAGGTAATCGTTAAATTAGTCACTGATCAACGAGCTAATTTACTTAGGGCAGAGAATTCGCGGGAATTTTACTCTAGATGAATATAGGAAACGCGGAAAGGTGTTAGCTGTTCGTCGTCTACATTTTATGTTTTTCTTGATTTTCATGGAAAATCATGGTAACGCGATTGATATTAATCGCCTTATTGAACACATACGCGTACACATTCGATACTAGCCAAAATATTATACAAACGATTTTAGGTTTCATTCATAGGGTGAAATTAATCATCAGAGTAAACAATTTTATTGTAGATCACTTTCCTATAACATGAAAATCTGAATGTGTCATTTTTACGAAAACAAAATTGTATTATTATTTGATTAATATTAACAAATAATGTTAATACTGATTATTATTAGTGCTATTGGATCGCGAGTGTACATACATTGAGTTGCATTGAACTTGTCGCAGTGAAGTTGGCTACAAATTCACTAACGCATTCATGCCGCGTCGGTGAGTGAATGCGTGGCCAACTTCACTAACGCATTCACGCCGCGTCGGTGAGCCGATCGGCGAGGTGCCGACGACGCGGTGTGAATGTGTTAGTGAATGTGTAGCCAACTTCACTGCGACAACTTCGCTGGGACTCAGTGTACGTACCCTATGACTTTTAAAAATGGGTGCAAATATCTCCAAACAACATTTCTATTATGTATATTGATAATGTAAGATAGCTTAAAATTTGAAATTTCGAATTTATTGAAATATTATTTCTAATACTACTACTATTACAGTATCAATTTGGAAGACCGTAATTAAAAATTTGAAAATTAATTATTCCTGTCTTTGATAACTAGAATTGTGATATGATCTACAACAGATATTTACGTTATAGAAGCATTCCCCTAATTTTCAAATCGTGTTCACAAGTAATGTTATAGGAGGGTTATCTATACTTGATTCGATAAGACAACTGAAATCCATTTCGACCTAAGTGAAAGTAAAGAAAAAAAAAAAAACAAAGGGGTTCGAATAGTTTTTGCTAAACAATTTTAAAATTAACAATGAAAGATAATGAAGAAAAAAATAGAAAAACTTTGCGACCAAGAAAAAGCGCGAATTTTTCGTTAATGAAAGAAATATAAATACACAAATATAGAGGGAAAAAGGGGCACATGTGTGCGTGTGTGAGAAAACAAACAGAAAAAATTTATACAGATATACGAATAATCTAGATACCAGATAACGAAATGACATACTCCATGCCTTACATAGAATTATCTAAGCCTAAGTAGATGTATCTAATTAGTCGTATTAATTCAAATCGACTAAGAAAATGTGACGGTCAACGACATGTTAATTAATCATTAATGAATCATTAGTTTCAAATTTTATATATTTTATGGTTTTATTTTAGTGGAATTAAAAAAATAATTTTTGTTATTTTCTAATTTCACGCATTACAATTGAAAAATTATTTTATATTTCTCGTAGAAAAATATCTTTTTTAATTTTAATTCTATGTGATATTTCCAAATTATATTTTTCACGTGAAACATTTTGTTTTTCATATAAAATTCAAAATAAGAAATATTTAGAAATCACTGTCTATAAGTCTAATTAAGTTATTTGATTGTTGCTTTAAAATTTGTAACTACGTATCAATTTTGTACCTTACATTCCGCAATAAGCTTGCTTTATTAAAAAAATTAATCGGTGAAATTTCAAGTGAAAATATTTTTTTTTTAAAGAAATTTTTAAATATATTTTGAAGTAGAAAAATATGAAAATTTTCAAATAAAAGATTCGTAGGAACAAATGCATGATGGTTAAAAAATATTTGAATGTTTTTAGATTCCAATTATTTATGAAAGTCAACGAATACATATTCGTCGTCGACCAAACTATTTTCTTAATCAATTTGTATCCCCAATTAGAGTGGAAAGTGGCGCTGATTAATTACAAATAACATTAGAAGTTTGCAGATTCAAAATTGTACAAATTTAAAACCCCATCCAAACAAAAATTTATACCTAATTTTTCTATCAAGTATTTTTGATTGAATTACGTCGATTTTTCTTTTATGTCATTTAATTTCTCATATTTGACTTGTTACATTAAAAAATAAAAAAATAAAATAGAAGATTTAACAATTTCCTAAAGAATTACGTGGCATGTGAAAAGTCAATAAGTTTCAAGAAAAATAAATTTTTAAATCTCGTGTTAAAAACAATAGAACTCGAACTAAGGTGATGCATAAATAATTATATTCCTTAATTCATGGTTTATTTCCCCAAAGAAAGACTTTAACATAGTTACCGTGTGATAAGACAGATAGGAATAATAAATATTTATTTACTGTAACAGTGTTTATTTATACGAAACGAATATTTTAATGAAAAACCTATTCATTATTCGTTAATTTATTTCTTTATTAATAATTGAAAAACTAAACCTGGTGAAACACTTGAATATAATAAGTTGAATAAAGAAAGAAAAATTTCAAATTTGTTATTAACAATTTTAGTGAATATGAAAATTATTCAATAATAAGTAGAAAAACAAAGAGTTATACATATTGTTATATAATTTGAATATTTTACGGTTTCTTTCTTACGAATCTAATGCTTATTACCGAAGAAATAAATTGAGGAGCTGCTATTTGTTTATATAAAGGTATAATTAATTAAACAATACGTAGACATTCTGGAAATGGGTGTTCATTCGCATGTAGGTTCATGTGTATCAACTATACATAATTATACATAACGGTGCTTCTCAACCACAGATGAAAAATTTTATAAATTAAACATGAAACTTCAATAATAAATTTTCATTTCCTAATTTGTTGGTTGAGAAACATTGATTTTGACTCCTTCATACTGTTTCGTTACTTATTTGAATAAAACATTCGATTCAGTAGAATTTCAAAACTTGTATCGCTTGTTTCTATCTTTATTATTGTTTCTTAAGCAGAAAATTAATACTGTTTCGAATGAGCCAATTGTTAACTATAAGATTGTTTACGAAACAAAATTCATAATGTTTCCATGAGAAAAAAGAAACAGCTTCCACGAGAGAGATAAAAGGAGTCGAAACGTTTGCGTCACGTGGGAAAATTGTGAAGAAAGCTTCTCCGAGAAATTTTATTTACCGGCAATACATTTTTTGCCATTGTACGTCGAAGTATTGTAATTAAAAATATAAGTTATCTTGTGACGAATCAACGGTAGAACTCGTATCAATGAAATTGTCTTAACGTTAGAACAATCGACTTGGAGAAGTGACATTCAAATAAATAATTGGAGGCTTAAAAGTTGGGAAATCGAAAGTTTCCGAAGTTCAATTGTTATCTTAACGTCCAAGGGTTAATTATCTCGGCAATTTAAATAAAATAATTTGCGATCCGTCGTTTTGTTCTAATATTGAGCATATTGTTTCATTGCAAAATTAGATCTCTAAGGTTGCAAAGTATTTCATATAATTTTACAATTATTTGTATAATATAATGCAACGAAGCAGACGATCTGCATAATCAATGAAAAATACTTTGCAGTTACAGCAACGAAATGAGCAATGATATATTAATTTACACGTACGACATTTTTATTTCTACCGTTGAATTGAAAGTAAAATGAATTTAAAGAGATATAAAGCTTGGTCGGTACAATTCGACCCACGTGAAAAAAACAAAAAAAAAAACAAAACAAAAAAAAAACAGATAAACTTGAAGTGATGGCAATACCAATGGTCTTCTCTTGAAAGTTTAAAATGAAAAAAAAAAAAGAACGCAAAGAAACGAAAAAACAAGAGAAGTACCCGCGGTTGTGATAAGCTACTAGTTAAGTTACGATTACTTGATTTACTAATTGATTAATTAGATGATCGTCCTAACCGGTTAGTGCGGCTTCATTGTCCTGATTTGTTGTTGTCATTTCTTTTATTCTTTCCTGTGTTATTTTTAATAAATTCACGGATTATTTTGTTTAAACATCTGTCTTTTTATTTAATTACCACCTTACTTGTTCCTATTTAACGTTCCTGATTTAATTGAATTAAGTAATATTAAAATATATTTTTAAATGATTTTAAATTTTGTTATTAAAAAATATTAAAACTATTTCGTTTTGTCATTATGTTCACATGTATAAACGCGTAGTATACTATTTATTATAACTAGAGTGAAATTATAAACAGTAGGTATTAATAACTTATTGTTAGTGTAAACATATAAGATGGTGTTAACTTTCTACCTCCTTTTAAAAATATTGAAAAGTTTGATAGTTTTTATTGAGAATTTGTATAAATGATTCTAATTACGTGAAACTGTATAATAAAATCATTGATCACGTTCTCAATAGACAATTATTTCATTTTATTTCAAATAATTATTTATACAAAATATTTCAAATAAATGATGTCAATTGCCTTTTAATGATGAAGATATCAACCCCGTTTTTTTAAATACTACATATGCATGTACTTTTTATGAATTAATCCATGCAGTTCTTTATTTGTTATAAAAAAAATATTAGGATGTTTTGTCAGAAAGTTACTGGTATAAAAAATATTTTAATTTTATTAAAGTAATAGATTGTCTTCGACATTGATTTATCACGAACTAATAACTAATTGTTGCTAGATATTAATTTAAGATGTTAACAGTAGAGATTATGGTATACTATTTAACATGCAAAATTAAACATGTTATTCAGCGCCATTTCTCACAGTATCCCGAGTCAATGAACGAAATAATAGCAATAAAAATGATTGTTAAGCGATCACTATCCAATATTGTTAATGATAATTAGTTATAAATAATTGATCGAGCTGTGAAAATTAATAAAAAAAATGAAATTAACAAAGCGAGTAATGGTAAAATTTTATCGATTTCATTCGCCTTTATTTCAAATTTTAATAACTTGATAAGTTTCACCAATTTCTTTCTTTATTCGTTTTGACAAAATTGCAGTCCTTCTATTGCCTTTCAATATTAATTTAAAAAAGTATTTATTGAAAACGTGTTAATTTTACCACGTTTATTTGTTTCATTCAGAAAATTGAAGTTAAGTTAATAAAGGCAAAGAAGAACAACAATTTGCGAAGCGTTAAAAAAACGGAAGAAAAACAATCGTTCGACACGATAATACCATGTAATTGTGATAAAACGAAAAGAACCGTAAATGCGAAAGAAAGACGAAATTTACCAATTAATTAGTTGAATAATGAAAATCATAGAAGTAGGTAATTTTTTAGATGAACATGAAAAAATAAGATACAGGGAATTTCTGTACATACGCGTGCGTATAAGGAAAAGAAAAAAAAATATGTTACAATTGTACGCGTGTATGTGTAAAAATATATATATATATATATTAAACAAGACGAGATTTTATCCACGAAAAAACAAAAGCAAGTGATTATTACAATTGATTAAGGGCTGTATTAATCGACACACAATTTAGATAACGATAGAGGTATACAGTATATATTAATTAATGAATTAAACGTTAGAGTAATTATACCGATTAATTGATTAAATGCATACGTATGCGTGTATACATTTAACAGCAACAACGTAAACGATGTACTTGTATACATAAATAATATTATTATTACTATTATTATATATTATACATACAAATATATTATATTGTATACACATTAGTGAATGTTCAATATTGAAATAAAAAGCATATACGTTGTTTACACTATACGGGTCTCTTTCCTGTGTAATTCCTCATATTAAAAATTACACTTGACATTCCTGAAAAGTGTTCTTTTAAATTTTCTAAAGAGATGCAAATTATTTGTAAGTAAGTACTCCCTTATCATTTTTATGTCACATACGATATTATAGAATGAGAATAGAATAAGATATCAGCACTATTGAAATGTGTATGTACCAGGAAAGGTAAAATTATTTTGGTCTCACATTCTACCATACCAATTGGATTTCAAACGACGTCGGTATTTCAGATTGCGTAAGTACCACGACTCATCTTACAACACCGACAAAAGACTACAGGATTGCCTCGAAATAAGCAACACGCTCGGGTCTGGCCAGTTGCTTATTACGGATCAGGTATGCTATTCGGCTCGACTTTGTTCTCGAAACGGGACCATAAAGAACACGAGAAACGAGAAAGATAATTATTTTTCATTTTGGTACCTGAATAATAAAAAGTAAAGATTGGCACTATCTATTTTGAATCTGTTTCAACCGTTTCCACCGACTAAATTTTGTATGAAATCGCTACCACTCCGTCAAAGCTTTTGGATTGAAACAGGAGTGAACTGAGCGTAGTTAGTCACGTTTCCATCGACTTAAATTTGGTTCTACGCCGCACTAGGTGCAAATTAGACTGGATACACGCTATCGGTTCGGCCACGGTCCTGTAAAATCTTACGACTAGATCCACATGCGACGTGTTGCATATTGCATGTTGCGTGTTTGATGCATCTTTGGTGTACGGCCTGCCTTATATGTTTGGTATCATTTTAATCAGAAAAATCTCACAAATGCGTTAGTGAAAGTTTCATTAAGAAAAAGTTAAAAATAAAAAAGTTTTATCGTTGAATTAGTTTAGTCACACCGATATAACGGTTCGGATCGTATTACACGGCTTCCTCGTCGAGCGTCTCGGTTCGCTAAGGGGGATCCCCCCAATTGGAGGGGATAGCGATGTTGCATGTATGTATCCAGCCAATCTTTCGTTGCATACACATACATATCCAGCTTTTACTATACAGTATTGCCTCGAAATAAGCAAGTGGTCTCTGCTTCGAAATAAGCAACTTGCTATCCCCTCTTCTTTGTTTGAAGTCGCCCGCAAAGTGAGAGGTACGAGAAATGAGTGAGAGGTCCATGAAAGCGCGAAGCCGATGTTTAGGATACTAAATTTCACGCTCGACTGAGCAGTGACATCGGTTAGTAGAAGAAGGATGGAATATATATAATGCTTTCTCAGTCTGGTATATTTGCTTCGAAATAAAGCATAGTGCGAGAATGAAAGGGCTTGCTATATTCTATCCTTGTTCAAAAAATAACATCGCTGCTCGGCCGATCACTTTATGATTTGCCGCTACCTCGGATCTCTCACTCGTTTCTCGCGTTCTCTATCGTCCCATTTCGAGAACAAAGTCAAGCCGAATAGCAACCTTCTTCGAAATAAGCAACTGTTCGGTCCCGAGCCACTTGCTTATTTCGAGGCAATACTGTATTTGGTTAGGCGGTCGTCCACCTAATCCTCGATGCCGTCCTACTCGGCCTTGATTCAGACGGTTTATGTCGCTAAAGAAGATACACGTTTTGGAATAATAAATCTGACTTTATTGTCTGACAATGAGATGTCGACCGACGGCTTCGAACAGGTCACAAGGCAATGGCATGGGCAATGCCGTCTTTCGTCGGGTAGGCAAGGCAGCCAACGTTTTCCTGGGGAGAAAATGGGCGCGACTAGCGCAGCTTGTGCTACTCCCCACATCCGAGGCTCAACGCGATTAATTATTTCGACAACCGAGTTTCTAATCGTGCTCGTTGAGGAATGAACCGCCTCACTTATCTGACTAAGCATTTATTTGCAAAAATTTCTTTTCTCCTGAAATACAAAGATATTTCTCATGTGAATGAGGCATAATGGCTGCGCGCTTGCGCATGACTCGGCGGTAGGGGCTTCCCCTTCAGCGCTTTTTCACTAGACGAGCGGACACTATGATTCAAACTACCACATTTACATATGAACTAATTGGTTAGTTCTGTTGCAAAAATTTGAAGCTTTTATTTCCACAATCTGATTTTTACGCGGCTTGTTCTCACAAATATATGTACGATGGTCAAGAAAGGTATGTTTTGTTGCAAACTTGATTTTTAAACTTATTTTTCCAAAGAATTAGTGATGTTCATAAAGTAAAACAATATTTTTACTATCGTTTTTCCTGTTTGAGAAAAAATTATTTCAAGTATAATTTTAGTATTACTTTTCAATGTAGATTAAGGTAGATTGTGTATTATTTTTAAAGGCACTACGGATAGTCAAGACAGACAATTAGCTTACAAAAAAGAAGCAGTTGAAGATGTTACAGAATTTGCTAAAACAAAAAAGGATGAAATGCAAGAACTAATAAAAGATTTCAATGAAAAGTGGCAAATAGGATTATGGTGGGACTCCAAAGTACTTCAGAAGGATAAACGGTTTTACCATTTTTTTTCTTTTAAGACTTCAGATAAGCAAGATGTTATTCAGGTAATAGAAAAGTATCTAAATCTTTACAAACATATGTATGATATTGAGTATGTAAAAGATGCTACTGATCAAGAGAGCATTAATAGTGCTTATGATCAAATTCAAGATTTGTACAAAGAGTTATCAAATATGGTTAAAGTAGCTGAAGCAGAAAAAGAAACTACAAATAGCAGTACTATTTATAACTTACACAACAATATTATAACAAGGGAAACACAGATTGTAAAAAAATTAGAAAGGCTCGAACTTTCTATTTCAAGACAAAAGATACAAAGCTTAACACCTAAATTAGAAAGTGCTCTGAAGGCATGTGAAGAAAATAAAGAACAAATACATACCCTTCAACAAGAGATTAAGAAATTAAAGAAGAGTGTAAAAAAGTTGTAGAAGAAAATAAGAAAAGAAATGAGAAATTTGATGGAAGTAATGTATAGTTACATGGAACATGGAGAAGCAGTTCAGAATAAAGCTGATGAACAAGGAGAAAGCATCAGTCAGCAGCAACGATATGCTTAAAGTGTTAATGATCAACGACAAGAATCCAACCTAATCAGCAACAAAATTGCTTAAGCAACTGCTTAACGCAGTTAAATACATTGAGAGAATTAGAAAAATGTGCTGAAATCTGACTTAAAGGAAGGTTTCAAATTTTCACTATCCATAAGAATGTGGATAAATATTTCGTGTTACCTTTTGTTAAGTATATTAATGTTTTATTAATGTGTAGCAAGGTATGTAGTAAAGAGAAAAATGAAAATAAAGAATCATGGCGGTTTTTTGGATTAAAGGAGAAATTTCCATTTACATGGAAAACACGACAAGAAAAAATTCTTGAACAAGATCTAGAACAAGAGGAGGAACTATATGTTCATGCATACGATTTAGCCTCATATTTTAATGACAATATTAAGTATGGTGAAAAAAAGGTGAGAAAGGTTCTTGAAATAGCGGAAGATAAAGAAATTAGTGTCAAAAAAGTCAGAAACAAGTTTAATGAAGTCATAAGAATGATCAAGGATAACTTAGAAAAGGAATTCAAACCTGATGATTACATTGGGGGAGGTACCAAGAAATATATTATTAAAGAATATGCTAAGTGGATGCGGATTATTGATGATTTTCTGAAGAAAGAGGAGAAACTTATAAAAGATACCTGGATTGAGATAAATAATTCCCAAATAGAAAATGAAAAGATTAAAGAAGAATGCAAAGGAGATATAGAAGAAAATAGAAAAAGGAGGGAAGATATAAGAAGTTTTATGCGAGAAATGTTTAGCTATATGAAACATGAAGAAACAAATCAGGATAAAGCTAATTACCAAGAAGCAGGTGCTCAAGACTCTGATGCCCAATAGCAGGAATCAAATACTAAAGCTGGTAATAATTGTGAACCTAAAAATACCAACTATATTCTCACTAATGTGCCTTGGAATTAATGTGGTACTAAAACTTTTGTTCATGTACAGATATCAGCACACAGGAATCGCAATCGCTACTTCCGTTTCCACTTGAATAAATTCTATTATATTAATTAATTATCTAATAATAAATAAAATGTATAAGATTAGCCAACTATTACTATTATATATCGTAAAAATTCTTATCGCAACATTGGTCATGTCAGTAGTTCTTTATGTCTCTAGTTCCTTATCAGCAGGATTATTTCTCGATAAAATATTTGCTCGTGTCATTCATTTAGCAGCGTTAATTTTGGCACTCTTTATCTAATGTTTATGGGTAATCTCAAACATGTATAAATTAAATCCTTTGTGTTGCTATATGTCATCCCGGTAACCATTTCCGTCATTCCAGTGCTTAACACTGGGATCCAGGTATAAAAGTATTTATATACGTCAAAAATAATATCCATGATAAAATAAGCTGGATTCCAGTGTCAAACACTGGAATGACACCATGAGAGGTCTATTATGAAAAGACACTCAAGTAAGTTTAAGCAACAACTTTGTCAATTATAGCAATATTGTTAACATAAATATTAATCTCTTTTGAGATTGCTATTAAGAGAAATGGGCAGTTCTCTGGCGAAGTGAAGGTAGGTGATAATTATAATTTTTCAGGAAAGGTTGACATTACAAAAAAGAATGTACACATTAACGTTGAATCAAACTTTATAAAGTTACTATTTACAGGCAACAGAAATCAAGAAGGGCTCCAGGGCAAGTTAACGTTGACAATTAATAACAATTCTGATTTTGTAAATGATTTAGCAAAGATTATCAATTTTAGCTTTCTTGCTTATACCATCCTTAGTGAAAATATCAAGATATCATCAAACATCAATGCTATCATCTCAATGAAAATGAGTTTGTAGCAACTGATTTGAGAATCGATTCCAAAAGCATGCAAGCCAGTGGTACAATACGAAATGATAGAAGAAATAATCACACTAATGTCAATATTAGGTTCAGTACAGCTGACTTAAATTCTATACAAAATGACTCACGAAAAATAACAGAGATAGAAGATCTTTTAGAGCAGAGCTCGGCAAGATTTTCACTTTTCGCACGATTTTCAGCTGGTTCCGCATATCGCTATTCTCTTTGCCCCGACGTTCCTCGCGCAGCCGACGAACCGTTCGAGGTTCAGGAGTGTATCACTCGTAAACGTATGCTGGCAATAGCTTTCCACATCACCTGCGAGATATTATTGTTGATGCGTTTTTTTTTAAAGTGGTGTCTTCAGTAGGCCTAATCCCACTGATGACTTAAAGAACCCTTTAACTAAACGGAAACAAAATTAAATAAGAAATGAAAATAATTTAGAGCAGTTTTTGGAATTTTTTAGGAGGAAGATCAGAAACATCTATTTGCATATTGCACCGCGTCTTATGCGGCTTGCTACGTGCAATATACAAATAGCATAAGACGATGAAAACAGAATATGTTCCACTGGAATTGTTTGGAAACAGCGGGGAACTGATTTTATGATATGGTCAAAATATTCTTAGCTTTCCGGGCCCGTTAGTCCCTTGTAGCATTTTCTTTAGCAGGCCGGCCTGCAGCCAGGATGTGGCACTTAGAATCCTTCAGTTTATAAGAGGTCAGTCATTGTGCAGTTTTAGCTTGACGAGTATATCGTAAAGTCACTTTCCAAAGGGTCGCCTAGTTAGAGTTTTTATGATTGAGCCACGGTAATGGTCCTTCATGACCAGATGGCCAAGTCGACCCAGTGGAATTTTCCCGGCTGTTACAAACGACGGAGTCACCCCCGCTCCAGGGACATATCGCGCTACGGGCGCACTGGAAAGGGTGTCTCCGGATAGGTCAGTTCCACCTCAACAGGAACCGCCCTTAAGGCCCACCCGACGAGGGTGGAAAGAGAGCAAGTTTTGCTAAGGGCCAGGGTGGCAGATTAGAGTTAGAACTCGCTTGTCCCTCAGACGGTATACACTGTACGATAAATCAACCGCCTTACGAATAGTTGTGATACGAATAGCTGATTAAAGTGGTTAAATCAGGATTAGTACATTTTTTACCACATCAGTGGGTGGTCCTTCAACCAGTCCTCAGACGGCACGAAGTGCAATAATTCCAAGAACGTGCAGATTAGAGGTCACGTTCTAAACAGGAATACAAAATTAAAGTGGTGAATACTGCAACGGCACATCCAAATTGGATACTGAAGAACCCGCAGAAGAAAGGGTGCTCCCGCTTAAAACGTATGGATGATTTGGCAAAGTGGAAAGCACACATTACAAATGGTGGGACCGCATTTGATAAATATGCCATCATCGATTCCTGGACAAATGATCGTTTTCAGGAAGCTCGGAAAAATTATCAGCAAGTGACCACGTGAAACCTGCAGGAGTGGGCTTTAGCTGCTGCAAACCAGTTCTGCGGATTTGAATTTAAAGCATCTGATACGTAGGTGAAACAATTTAAACGCAAGCGTGGCATCCGGCAATGGAAAATTACAAAGTATGTTTCCGAAAGCGAAACCACCACAATGGAGGAAATGTGGGCTTCGACAGAAAATTTTCGAGCCCAAGTTCGTGCTCTAATACCAAATTTCAATCTGGATTTTGTTATTAACACGGACCAAACAGGCTGTCAATATCAATCCACCTTCGACAGAACGCTCACTCACCGAGGGTCAAAAGTAGTCACTGTACAAAGGCAGAGCATGAATAAGGTGACACATTCTTATACAGCACAATACGCTCTGACTTTGTCTGGAAAGTTATTACCAGTTGTTTTCGTGTGCCTGCAAGAGGCATCAGGTACATTTGGACTGAGGGTTCGAAAGTTGGTAGAGAAGTGCTCGGCCAACTACGAGAACGTCGTTGTGACGTGTACAAAATCAGGAAAACTTATTAAAAGTTTTTTTAAAAATTGCTTAAAGCCATATATACAAAAAGAACATTTCCTTTTACTGATAGATTCTTGGGGAGGACAGACTAATCCGGTGATATACGATGAAATATTCCAGGATGACGAGTGTATGCCAACGTGTAGTGTGAAAGTAATTCCTCCGAAATGCTCTCCTCTGGTCCAGCCGTGTGATGTGTACTTTTAGAGACAGGTAAAAGATTTAATAAAGTGTCTACAAAACTGTTCATACCTGATCCAGCATAAACGTGAAATAAATTCTAGGGAAGACCGTATAAAAATTCATTCTATTGTACATACACCATCAGCTATCTTCTCCAATATTTGTAAATATGTTACAGTATGTGTGGCGTGCGTCCAAACTCTCTGATACAAGAGAAGTATTTATGAATGTAAATGAAGTATGTTTTCCGGTAGACGTCCTCAAAAAAGCGTGCTCTTGTATGAATGCTGCGTTTATAGTGTGTGCTAGATGCCGCAACAATTATTATTTTCCATGCTTTTACGATAAATATCACGCTGGATCATGTCATACTAGCATATAAGTAATAACCAGAATGTACAATAATACAGTGAATATAACATTATGTATTAATTTTAAGTTCGATTTTTTTCCCAATGCCCACAAAAAAAACATGCATTTTCTATATAAAACATAAAAGTAACTGTTCATTGGCGCAGATTTCATAAATTTTAGGCTAAAAATTGAGGTAGGTATCAATTAAAGAAAAAAAAAAATATCGAGAGCGAGACTCGAAACCAGCCACCTACTGATTATCAGTATTTCACGTTACACCAACAGCCATTTGAAGCGTTGTTCATTTTTAAACGCAAACTGTTTATGACGGAGTACAGCAATTTTCATGCAATTTTCTCGGAAAATTTTGAGAGGCGCGCGCTACAGCTTTGCCAAATTAAGTTTGGAAAGGACATTTTCAAATACTGCAAGTTTCAAAAAAATCCGTTTCCCGTCGATCGCGCCCTCCCCTTGTGAGACGGAGACAAGAAACGGAACAGCAGGGGTTTCATTGTGCAGCACGGCTTTTGTCTTGCGTAGCGAATCACCCTGTATTTATGTCGCTTACACCCTTACCCAGCTCTTCTGGCTTAAGGCTGGTTTAGACACGGCTAGTAATTTAGTCGAGCAGAGAGTAGCTACATACTTACTACTGAACCGTTTAGCGCATAGAAAAGTGTCCGGACTAGTACAGTTGAACTTTGAAAATCGAGAGTACAAGATATATCGCTTGACTAAAGAAATGGGTCCGGACAGGTTTGTTCGGAAGCCTAGTTTGTGGTGGGGGAAGCCTACTCGACCAGAAAAATCCAATGGAACGGATCTACTCGACTAAACCGTTTTACTAAACTACTGACTAAACTGTAGTGTCCATACACTAAACTACTCGTCACTCGACTAAACTACTAGCCGTGTCTGAACCAGCCTTTACTCTACGTCAGGCCTGTCCAAGTTGGGGAATTCCACTCCTGGAACACATGTTCCGGTTCCCCTTCCAACGCTGCCCCTTCAAGTAAGATGGGACGGTTTCGACTACCGTCTCCCCGTCTTTCCTAGCGGCGGTACTGTCTCTTCGGAGAGACGGTAGTCGGAACAGTCTCATAGTCCCATCTTATGTACTTGAAGGAGCGAGCAGCGTTGGAAGGGGAAAGCACCCTACTTGGACAGGCCTGCTCTACGTAATGTAGACAGCTCAACTTCTTATTGTAGATCGGATCTTCACCCCCTGTGGCTCGGGGGGCTTAGAATACGGCCACGGTATCCCACACTAACACACACATACACACACCGACCACGATAACAGTATGGAGAGATAAGTTTACAGAAGTAACAGTATGGAAAAGAAAAGAAGGAGAAATTTAAAAAATGCCCGGGGTTTGGGGTTGGCAGTGCTGCCAACCCATCCCCAATGCGTGTGGACGATAGTGTTCGTTGGGCAACATGGGGACAGATGAGTCCCCAAAAAGCGCCGGCCCCTGTAGGGGCGAAATTAGTGGTAGTGATAGTTATTGTAGATCGGGCCTAAGGCAGGCCGTACACTGGTGTGAGTCGTGAGTGGTCGTGAGTCGTGAGTTGCATCGAACTTGTCGCGGCGTGTGACACTAACACACGTGAGAGCCGAATGACGTGGTGCACGCTGAGGGGGACTGCCTATGTTAATAAATATATAGAATACATACTAGTGAATCGACATTTTCGTCGGTAAGTGACATAGCGACCTATGAGGTCGAATATGAAATGGACTTGGACTGTCGCGAAAAATGATAAAGATGCGAAAAATCGATTTTTACGTCTTTTTGCTCTCTTATACGTCAAAGTATGTTCTTTACAATGAGAATAATCGGAATGTTATATTATAATTATCAATTATATAGAAGTGACTTGTTCTAGGAAAAAATATAAAATAAAGCAATATATGATTTTAATTCGTATTATAAAACTAGCTGGCACGATAGCCGTTGTCCTGTCCAAATTTCAATAAATTTGTTTGTGATCGTCTTGTGAATTTGTGAAAAGCTATTGGAAACGTGTAAACAAAGTAAAAATGAAAAAAAATGTATTTCTGAATGATCATTGTATCTATTAACGATTGTGTCCCATAGAAAAAAGCATTTTCATTTTTTCCCGAATTTTCCATTTTTCCAGGCAACTTTTCCAATTTTTCTTTCCCTAACAACCTTATTCGGACTATTACGAACATTAAAAAAAAAATTAGCCAAATCGGTTCAGCCGTTCTCAAGTGATGCGCATACCAACGAACAGCATTTAATTTTTATCTATACATATACATATACCGCAGTTCACCAGAGTCCATAACTGCGAAAAGACCAGTTTTCGTTCTTCACGCATCTCTAGTGCGCATCTTCGCCCTGATTGGCGATATTCCCAAACGAAGTGGAAAACGATTAGCAGAGAGCTCGCTGCGTTCCCCCACCATCTTCCAACCTGCGCGTCACAGTTATGGACTCTGGTGAACTGGGGTATAGATAGATACATTCCGCAATAACAGATCCGCTTTTACGACTTGCCGCTCAAACCGAAATGTATCTACTGAAAATCGGGAAATTTGTAAACCTTATATCTTGAAAACTAATTAAAATCGAGTGTATACATTAAAGCTTAATGAATTCGTCTTGAGAAGCACTATCACATGAACTAAAAAAAAGTATATACATAGTTCCATTTGAAAAATGAAACTTGATCATCATATCTCTTAAACTAATAATGCAAAACATTTTTTACTTCGGCCAAAACATAGTTTCCATTTTGCCATGCAATTCCCATATCAACAATTTTTTGTATCATTAATAGTTACGGAATAACGGAATTATACACTTAAGCCGGGACACCCTGTATATATTGTACAGGGTGTCCCAGAACTGGGGTAGGAACGGAAGAGGGATGATTGGTGAGGTCATTCTAAACAACTTTTTTCTTTGCCAAAATGTTGGTTAAGGCTTCGGTTTCGAGTTATTAACGAAAAACACTGGCCAATCAGAGCGCGCCGTTAGCGTGGGCCGAACCACGAGAGTGTTGGGTATGTTCCGCGCGGTCGTGATCAAGTGCCTCGGCACTACGTCGGTATGATGGGATTCGTTGAGTAGAAGTTGCATCGAATAATGAATAAAAAAAAGAAAAGAATAATTCTATCGAATTATTGATTACTCATGAACAACGAATCCTATTACACCGACGTGGTGCCGATGCACTTGATCACGACCGCGCGGAACATACCCAACACTCTCGTGGTTCGGCCCGCGCTAACGGCGCGCTCTGATTGGACAGTGTTTTTCGTTAATAACTCGAAACCGAAGCCTTAACCAACATTTTGGCAAAGGAAAAAGTTGTTTAGAATGACCTCACCAATCATCCCTCTTCCGTTCCTACCCCAGTTCTGGGACACCCTGTATAACGATTAAACAATGTTTCCGACATATTAAATTAATTACTTTACAATAGCAATATGTTATCCCTTGCTGCTGTACAAATTAAATAGCTACTATCATTTTTTGATTAAGACGTGAACTGTAAAAGGAAAGGTCATGCGATTGAAGAAATAGTTCAATTGCAAAATACGATGATTTACAGCACATGCAAATTAGATTCTAAAATGCAAAAAAGAAAGAAGGAAATATGTCTTTAAACATAATTATTTAGCGTTATAAATACTTCAAGTATAAATGAAAATTTAGTTTTGTGATTGGGAATTCTTAGATGGAAGACATGCCGGTACAACCATTAGTTTGTTAACTATATATTTGTTCTATGAATTATGATTATATATCTTCCAGGAAGAAAAAATTTAAATATTTGAATATTTGAATGTGCATCAAACTACTACACTTTCAAATTGAATGTACATCAAGCCACACTATTACATACATTTCATGGGATTTTATCTGTGAACTTTCACGAACTTTGTACCTGAACTTTGTACCACAGTGTGTACCAGTTTTCAATAAACAGTTTGTTGTTAACGAAATAATTTTTTATTTTGTCATATATTCAAGCTCAGACACAGCCTACTCTAGTAAGTAAGTAAGTATTGTAAGCGTCTACTAAGTTGAGACTCGAGGTGTGAAACGCTCCGCCTAATCCTCACCTCGAACCCTCGTCTAGTAGTAGTAGTAGTAATTTCTACTAGTAGTTGTAACCTAGAGAGCGAATAGCGAGAATGCGTGTGGGTCAACTGTATAAGTGTGCGTGTCTAAGTCTGGCCCATCTAGCTCCGACCAATCAGACCCAATTCCTTAAGCCGAGTATCCACCTGTATCAAACGCCCGTATCGTATCACCGTTCCGAACCCTTTTGAATAGGCAGACGTTGCCTCGTTGCATGCCACGGCGTGCTACGGCTCGGACAATATTTCTTCGTACAGTACTGTGCGTTGCAGCTAAGTTGCCGAGCACCCACAAACTGAACCGACAAAGGGGCAAGGGGACTGTGTGTTCGCTCCACCTAATCCCCTCCAGGGGCCCGTAACTTGAGAAGTGAGCGGCCAGATTGCATAGGCGTAAAATTTCCATATTCGCGGAAGATGTATTTAATTATATAAACATGCGATTTTTTCGAGATATTAATGGATTTTTTATAATACTCGTTCTTGACAACAGTTGTTATTATGCAAAATTTATGGAAATTACATTATGGAAAGTGTAAAAACTCTCCTGTATTCTTTATAATGTAAACCCCGAATCTACGTCTACGTCGATGCGTTTGAATCGTCGCTCTCAATCGCTTCATCTCATTCTGTTTCAATGTCTGTCCTTAGCGACGTTCGTCACGCGATAGATTTGTGGATGTAAGAGCCTCAGCCAATAAACATAATACGTGTAACTGGAGGCAGGTCAACGAATTTGATTGGACAGCAACTTAGCTGCAACGAACAGTACTGTCCACCGATCACAAGAAGTCCCATGAGAATAACGCAGTCTGCTTGGCCGCGCCCCACCTCAGCTCACACGTGACGTCGGCCGTGACGTATGATTGGTCGACGCGGTTAGATCTACTAATCAGGCTCGTGTAAAACTAGGAAGTCAGTCGATGTGTGTGTAGTATCTCCTCTTGCCCCTTTGCCGTCTCGCGAGACTTCTTGTCATCGGTGGACAGTACTTACTTAAGTACTAGCCGTGCTGAAGATAAAAATGGCAATACTGCGAGGGTCTAGATCACTAGCGTCATCTAATAGTGTATAGTAAAACTAATGAAAATTGCATTTTGTGGATTATTTTGCACTAGATGACGCGGGTGGTACCTTTTTCAAAACGCGCAGCAATGACTATCTGTAGTCACTGCGCGCAGTGACATACAAATTCAAGAATCAGAAATTCATCTTTTATGAGGATAAACATAAGTGAAAGTCATATTTCTACAGTAATCACTTTATTTCTTCAATAATGCAATGTACAGTAACCTCGTCGTTGAAGTACCGTTTTAAACAGTTATGATATAACCGAGACTTGCAAACGCGACAATGAATGAAAAAGCTATAATAATATAGGAAACAATACCCTGATATTGCCAGTACAAATACGATTATAATGACAAGCTCAAAATGATAAATAAAAATAATACAGGTTACTTTCATCGATCGAGTATAATTTTTACAAGCGTGAACAAGATTCGAGTACAATATAGAGTTGAATAATTATTAATCTGGAATGACTTCGATATCACCTATACATTAAATTGTACCGATATAATTATAGACTATGATGAGTCTTTACTAGCGTTCAATATTATGTGCTAAATGCAATATATTTCAAGTTATAAAACAATACTTTTGAACGACCGAAATATATTAATAATTTACTTGCAACACACCTAATACAGCATAGAATATTGGCGACGAAAATCGATGCAATACAAAAAATTCAAACGCAAATTATTGTTAAGCTTGATACAATATAATCAGGCCTACAAATTAACGAAATATGGATCTAGGACTTATTTCAACGATGTAGGAGAAGATTTTGCTTTAGCCGCGTTGAGAGAAGTCATGAGTTTATGTTCTTCTTGGACAAGAGCGTCGTGTATCACACTCTGATATGATCGAGTAATTCGTTCCTTGTCATGGACAGCGAGATCCTGCCATTCTTTCTCCAAAATGTTCATCAACTTCTCCCTCTGCAGTCGCGCATCTTCGATCACGAATCTTTCATCTTCGTGCACCCATTTCTTCCACAGTATTTTGGCACCCTCGCTAAAAGGAATACAAATGGACAAAGAATTTAATTAACAAAAAAATAGAATTTCTTTCTCACCACTCGAATTTTTAGACACACAATTATAAATGTCCATCCTATTTGTGATCTATCGAGAGACGAATGTAGAGCGTGTAGGGTGACGAATGTCTTGGCAAACATTTGCAAAGCGCTGAACGCGTGTAAAAGTGTAGTACATATACCGAGAGAAGCGAATGACTCATGATTTTTAGCTGCATCATCGACAAAGTTCAACTAATTCGAGAAGCAAGATGTACCATTCGTCGTTTTAGACATTGCCCACGACCATTTGTCGAATTCGCAACAGAATGACAATAATAAGGGTCGAAAATTAAAACCAACCTGTACATCTCTGAATCCGTACAAGCATCCTCGCGTTCAGCAAGTTCGTTCTCTCTTCTATCAATGTTCATCAGTCCTAGTTTCTTCGTCTCCTCGTCCAAAACAAGATTATCAACGCTGTACAGCTTTTTCTCGCGAAGCAATTCCAATCTGTTTCTCATATCCCTCAGTCTAAGCGCCACATCCCAACATTGTTTCTTGCAAGCATGCGATTCTTTCATAGTTAGATCCTCAATTTTGTTCGTCAACTCCTTATGAGTCAAATACAGAAACATTTGCTTGGAGAGATTCTTGTCGGTAGGATCCATTCTTAGCCAAGGCATGCTTTTCTCCATTTCGAACTGCCGATTGTCCGTTGTTTTCACATCTTCCACGACATGATCCTCTTTGGAGCTGTATTTGTCTTGTTGGTCCCGTTCTTGATGCGAATCTTCAATTGGAGTCTCCGTTTGATCCTCCATACTTTGATTTAGCTCAGTGTTCTCGTTGTCTTGAAACCTTCTATGAGGACTCTCCTTCTGGTGAGCGAGGTCCTTGGTATTGGTTTCACGATCGCCCATCCTGCTGCAGGAACGATTCTTGATCACTCGGACTTCTTAAGGACTTAATTAAACGTTCTCTGTATCGTTCTTGCGAAAAAGAGTCTCGCTGTTGAGTGACAAATACATTTCAAAATTATTGAAAGAGGAGAAAAAGAAAAGTGTTTCTTTGCAGATGTAAGAAAAGTTTATATAAAATTATAGTCAAACTTCGTTTTAGGGGACCAAAAATTAACGGTTTCAAAATATGTAGTCTTGTAGTTTTTGACCTAAAACATTCGAAAATGCAAGTTAAAAGTCCAGGAAACCAATGGTTTAAAAAATACAATTGTGTAAACATGTATGTACATACAGTCCCATCGAAGTTGTCGCAGTGAAGTTGGCTACAAATTCACTAACACATTCACGCCGCGTCGTCGGCACCTTGCCCATCGGCTCACCGACGCGGCGTGAATGTGTTAGTGCGCCAACTTCACTGCGACAACTTCGATGGAACTCATCGTCAATTGCATTGAACTTGTCGCAGTGAAGTTGGCTACAAATTCACTAACGCATTCACGCCGCGTCGGTGAGTGAATGCGTGGCTAACTTCACTGCGACAAGTTCAATGCAACTCACGTCAGTGTACGTATTTAGTGATGTTTGATAGGTTAGTACAACGCCATATTGTTTCTACGCATTCTCTGATTGGTTCGTTAAAATGACTGTAACTTCCACTTATCTTATTTAAAAACATACTGCTCCTTGATTGCCGCGATCAAGGAATCCATAAGATGTAGTTGGTTAATTTCACAAAACCTCCGTCACAAAAATTCACATAGGCGATCGGCAAAGTCTTCGTCGTGGAAGCGATTCCAATCTTTTGCCGGTCGCCAGTTAGCTTCGATTTTTTGCGTGTGGGTTCCATCTTGAGCTATAATTAAAGGTTATACAAAACATTTATTTAATATCAGATTAAGGAAACTTTGATATCGCCTGGCCAAGCCAAGAGGAAATAGCCAACATATTTATTTACCAACAAATTCGACGCTGTGATTAACCATCTTATAGATGTATCCTTCAGCAGCGAGAACCATGTAACTTTTAAATGAGCCGGTATGAACAGATTTCGAATTTATGTGCGAACCAATCAGAAGATGGGTAGAAGCAATATGGCGTCGTACTAACTTGTCAAAGTACGCTAAATACACTTTTTTCACACAATTGTATTTTTTAAACCACTGGTTTCCTGGACTTTAAACTTGCATTTTCAAATGTTTCAGGTCAAAACTTTAAGATTTGATATTTTTTATTCAAAAATTTTTGATCCCCTAAGACGAAGTGCAGCCAAAATTATTAATATGCTTTTTTTGCTATCCTTGCAAAGTTATTTTTTAATAAAAACCAATAATTAGACAATGACAATTTCCGGTAGGTTATTACGAAACGAAAAATCAACTCTAACTTACATGCTTAATACTGAAATTAATCGATGAGCAGGGTTTTCTGGATTTTACAAACTTTATTCTTTTTCAACGACGATATTTTATTTAAAATACACAACATAAATAATTATATATTTGTCACAAATTTCGGAAAAAGCGACGCAGAAAAGATACACTAGAATGGCGTCGAAAGAAATCTCTAGCATTGATCCTTACATGCATTAGCGTCACACCGTCCACCGATCACAAGAAGTTCTATGAGAATAGCGCAATCTGATTGATCGCGCCCCACCTCAGCTTGCACCTACTTTTCGGTCGTGACGTATAACTAGCGAAGTAGGGATGGGCGATATTCGAAAAAAATATCGATGTTAAAACAATCGATTAATTAAAAAATCGATAATTGATCATTGATGCTTTTACAAAATATCGAATTCTTTTTTAATAGGGCTGCTTTTGGAAACATCACCCTGAGCACATTTCCTAGAACGTGGCCTAGAAAATGCGTATACAGGTAAACAAAAAATATTACACTACCTTTCTTATTTAAGTTTTACTAAAAAATATATTTAAATCAGTTAACTTCGAAGAATATTAATGAATTTCCTCCAAGTAGTAATAATATTTTGCGGGTTCTTGACCTGTAAGTGCAACAGGGTTGACTTCGTGACTAGAAAAATAGTTTTTATTAAATCTATAGGAAATGGGATATTCTAAGATAGATATGCATAAGCAGCATAAACTTCAAAATCTCATGCATATATACATTATAAAAAGTCACTGTACCTGCAATAGCAAAACAGATGCAAAAGGATTGAGATGATAAAGAAAATTATACACGGAGTATTTGGATAAGATAATTTTTTAAATCTAAGATCACAGAATAAGAATGAAGAACAATTAATAAGAGTTACAAGAATATAATAACACAAATGCGTATGGCGTTCTTATTTAGTCGCGTTCCGAAATTCACTGCTAGTACTGGAATCTAGTTACGTATTATAGATTTTCAGTGCTGGCAGTGAATTTCGGAACACGACTTATACCCAATGAGCATACAACATTTCTCGAAAATTATAGGCTTATTGAATAGTGTGCGTCGCGTTATCATGCTATTCAGTTTTCTCACAGAAATACAAAATGTCGATGTTATGTAAAAAAGTATCGATAATCGATTAATTGATTTACAGAAACATCGACAAAAATAATCGATTATTAGTAAAAAAACTATCGATATTTAATTAATCGAAACATATTACCCATCGCTATAGCGAAGTGATCGCATCTACTAATTAGGCTCGTGTAAAATTAGTGGGTCAGTCGATGTGTATGTACGTAGTATCCCGTCTTGCTCCTGTGCCGTCTCGCGAGACTTCTTGTCATCGGTGGACAGTACTTACGTGATACAGAAGTTATTTCTACAATTAGATATTACCGTTATTCTAACTATTACAATTATTATAATTTTATTCTTTGAATACTCATTAAAATGCAAGAATGAATAGATACAATTTGATTCTTCAGTTAATTTGTTATATATCAGGTTTCTTGCAACTGTTGCACCAGTCAACGCTTATATGATGTTGCATATTTTATCTTCCTACAATATAAGAAAAAAATAAAAATATAGTTTAGTAATTGTTATAATACAGTATCACGTGTTAAGCTTGTTAAAAACTTATCTTATTTTACGTAATTATTTTTAGTAGTGTATTTGTGAGATTTTTCTGATTAAAACAAGTTCAAACATGACATAATTTGAATTACAGTTAGGTTTTAAGTAAATAAGTAAAAATAATGGTGTCCTTTCTTTCCTGGTTCTTTGCTTTTTTTAACTTTGTTCCTATGGCGCCCCGGCGCCTGGGCCTCTTTCCTGCGATGGCCGCAAAGTGTCGCGCGTGTAACTTCCATCCTTTCTCGTAAGTGCTCTATCACGGACCTTGTTGATATATATATAAGGTCTGTGAACATACAATCCAGGCCCGTCTGGGCTAGGGACCGTCCACACCATCAGCCCCACTGACGAGTTTCTAGTGAGACGGTTGTCGAGACGGGAGGGAGGGAGACACACCCCATTATATATAATTTCGTCTCACGATGAGTCCGAAATGAAGCAGAATTTTATCTCATTGATAAAGAATGAATAAATGCGAAAAATTCCCCGAAATGGGTTAAATTATAAATCGAAACTATATTGACGGCCTCGAATTTTGGACGAATATGCCGTCGTCGGATTGGCACGTTATGTGCAAAATATTCCACTGAAGACCGTCATTTGTGTATCCCACGATTATATTGGGATTAGTGCCACCTACAAGGTGGTACAATATACGGACAAGAATGCGAAAAATTAAGCCGGTGAACGAAAAAAGCACGTTGGTGGGGGGTTGCTGCCATTGGTGTTTAAAATCCAAGAATGGTGATGTCGGCTTATTTATATTGATACTCTACCATATCTCCGTTCTTAGGAGCTTCACCAGATGGACTTATAGACGAAGGAGGGGCATTGTGGAAACCAAATGTCCCAAAACGGCGGAGAATTTATTGCCGGAGGAGGCAACCAAAAGTGTTGCAGTTATTCGCCGTATATTTGCAGATGCACAAGGAAAAACACATTAAACAAACAACCATTAATATTTTTATTACTTACTACCAGCTACAAGGACAATCACATGTCATAGGTAGAAAATATTGCTTATTTTGTGTTTGGACCCGAAAAGGGTTAAAGTACATTAGAGTTGATAGAGATGATAATTTTTGGCAAAACAATATGGAGCCAAAGTTAATTCAGTTTTATTTATTCTATATGTTACCGGAATTAATAGATAGCCGGTACAATAGGGGAATGCCCATTCAGGAGGCTCAATTTATAACAGAGGAGAGAGCAAGTTTAGAAAAGTGCAAAAGGTCTCCCGCAGAAAGTAGCACGAATACTGCTACTGTCCGGCACTGTAAAGTGCAGTACCACTGACTCTGTTAGTGGTTCACAGTTGCATGAAATAGCAATTGTACTCGCGGATTATACGATCCCTGTGAGTTACGCGACGCCATACTATCTTTCTTTGTTTTGTTTAAAAAATTTGTTACAGATTTTAGAAGGAAGGATTCCCGAGAAGAAGTTTTTTGGAGTGAAGCGAGCGTAGAACTCAAAAACTAGATTATGCCCCGATGCGTCTACAACAGTAGCTACTGAATTTCCATGACTGCTTTTTTTTCTTATAAAACATTAATTATTGTATTTCAGATAAAAAATATAGGTAAATGTTCGGAAGTGTCACTCCTGTCAGAATCGAGCTGATTTTTTTTTGTGTGGTTTTTTACAGTTAACAAACATCATATTTAATATTATTATGGCAGCGCATCAACAAAAACAATGTCAATAAATATTTTTTTAAAGTTTTTTTTTTTATCCCCCACGAGTTGAACAGTAACATTTAATTCGTTTTGCTGACTGGGGGGCTCAGCTCCCCAGACCCCCCTAAATACTACACTAACTAATACCGATACCCATTTTTAATATAAGGAACTGATAAACACAATATACAAAGTAACATATTTATCGGTATTAGTTAGTGTAGTTATTAGGGGGGCCTGGAGGGCACGGCCCCCCCAATCAGCAAAACGAATTTAATATATTACTGTTCAACTCGTGGGGGATGTTTTGTTTTTTGTTAACATCTGGAATTGCCGTGTTAATACCCCAAAATTCGGACGACGTGATTACCACAGGGCTGGTTATATTGCTGACTTTCTATTTCGTCGAGTTTTCACCGTGCACAGTGAACGCGTACATGGCATTTTCGATGTTATTCAGCAATTTTATAATGAAGAATTGTCAAAATAGTTTGTATGTCTATTGTATTTTAAAAGAACAGAATATTTCTTTTAGAAATCTTGAAAAAAAGTTCGAAAGATCGACGAATAAAAATCTTTGAAAAAATATTTATTGACATTGTTTTTGTTGATGCGCTGCCATAATAATATTAAATATGATGTTTTTTTAACTGTAAGAAACCACACAAAAAAAAAATCAGCTCGATTCTGACAAGAGTGACACTTCCGAACATTTACCAAAAAATAATCTATCGGGTAGCCTCGGTAGGTATGCGTAACAGCATTTTCCTCTTCTCGAAAAAAATTAAATAATTATATATATATACATATATTCAAGAAAGCGTTACCAGGACAAATGGAGTGCAAATATGCTGCCTGATCACGTATAATCAGCAAGTATAATCTTACATAATTAATATTACGTTATCTATACATAAATTACTTTCTTCAAGGAAGAAGAGGAAGAAAAGAAAGAGGGAATGAAAAAGGAAGTGGACAGAAGAAAAAGGAGAAAGACGAGAAAAGGGCTTGGGTCTTGGGTCCATTCATGATGGTGTGACGGCATTTCCTTTGAGTCCACTAGCGAGAGGATCACCCTATATGTATATACATGTATATTATACAGAGAATTCATATACATATACAGGGTGTTCCAAAATTAGGGGAAAACCTGTGGAGGGATGATTGCTGAGGTTATTCTAAACAACTTTTTCGGTTGAGGTATAGAAAACGGGGTACACCCAGAACGAGCTATTTTGTTACCATAGATAGTCCTTGGGGTGGGGATTCCAACGGCAGTCATCCCACCCCTTAAATCCCACCCGCCGCCCCCGCAGCGGTCAAAAACTGAAATTGTCCGAAAAGGGGTTTCTGTATCGATCTCAGTGAGTACATTAAAAAAAATGAAAAAAAAGATGAAAAAAACCCTAACCCTAATCTAACCTTCTTTTAAAATTTAAAAGAAAATTATTTTTTTTATGTGCTCACTAAGATCGGTGCAGAAACCACTTTTCGGACAATTTCAGTTTTTGACCTCTGTGGGGGCGGCGGGTGGGAGTTAAGGGGTGGGATGACCACCGTTGGAATCCCCACCCCAAGGCCTATCTATGGTATAAAAAACAGCTCGATCTGGGTGTACCCCGTTTTCTATATCTCAACCACTTTTTCCTTTGCCAAAATCAGACTCCGATTGGCCAGAGTTTTTCGTTAATAATTCGAAAACAAAGCCTTAACCAACATTTTGGGAAAGGAAAAAGTTGTTTAGAATCACCTCAGCAATCATCCCTCCACGGGTCTTCCCCTAATTTTGGGACACCCTGTATAATACATTAATTATTTTCTTATCTATGTATATTATGTACATATATAAATAGTAACATATCACGTTATCCCATAAGCAGTGATAAGTAATGCGAGTATAACGGCAACTTGGCAATAAAACAATAAAATATTGAGAGATAAACCATGTTTTGCATTAATGGCGATTACTGTGTATTGTGAATAATTTTGGACATTTAGTAAAAGAGTAATTTGTATTGTTTTGTGAAGTCGTAAATTTAAGGTTAAACATGTTGCGAAGTGTAAGCCGAAAATTGTACTTCATTCACGTGTTAAACAAGAGTTCAACATGTAGTATAAAACAAAAGAGAAATTTGAGTTTACTTGAATATCAGGGCAAGGAACTTCTTAGAAATTGCGGAGTTTCTGTGCAAAATTTTGGTATCGTGGATGATATGAGTAAAGTAAATCCTACTTTAGACCAATTACGTTAGTATTTCGTTTAATATTTAATGTATTTAATGTGTGTAATCTTTTCAGTGAAATTTATGTATAATTATTTTATTATTCTGCTTTATTGTACATACACAGTTGTAATATATTAATAAACATCTGACTATGAGTTTTGTAATTATTATTTTGGTAATTTTATTGTTATCCTATACATTTCCTTTAACTCTTATAATTTATTATTTTTTTCTGAAATAAATGTTTTCTTTATCATTTTTTATATAAATTTATAGTTAAATCCACAGAATATAATTTTATGTTTCTAAATACATGCAAATAGTTTTTTTCTATACTGATCAAAATTTATTATTTAACATATTGTATTATAAAAACAATAAAATTAAAAAAGTAATAGTTAATCTTACTTTTTAATTTATGAAATATAAAATATTTTTGTAATTAAAGAAGTACAGGATAGTATTAATAAATATAAATATTTATAATATTAAAATGATCTTATAATTACATTATTTCTTAAATAAATTTTAGAATTTCTACAACAGGTAAATTTTTTTATTGTAAGAAAAACTGTTCAGAGTTATAGCATGTCCTATAAGAATTTATGTCTCATTTTTAACTATTTTGTATACTAGAGTAAATAATGTATATTGAATTATTTTAATCATATTTAATTATGATGTCTAATTTAATCTTTCTTTATAGATGCAGATGAATATGTTGTAAAAGCTCAAGTATTAGCTGGTGGTCGTGGAAAAGGATGGTTTGAGCATGGTTTTAAAGGAGGTGTACATGTTACAAAAGAGTAAGTAAAAGTACATAGTATAAACTGCAATATAAGAACATGTGACTTATTACATATTTCTTACTAGCCGTAATGCCGTTAAAGAAATTGTGAAAAATATGTTAGGTCATTGCCTTATCACAAAGCAAACTTCAAAAGATGGCATATTAGTGCAGAAAGTTATGATAGCAGAATCTGTAAATATTGCCCGTGAAACATACATTTGTATACTTTTGGATAGACAGCACAATGGTCCTGTATTAATTGCTTCACCAGAAGGTGGTATGGATATTGAAGCCGTTGCTGACAAAACTCCAGAATTAATTAAAACAATACCACTAGATATATATTATGGTATTGATGATGATATTGCTAAAGAAGTTAGCATATTTCTTGGTTTTACGGATCCTACTATGCAAGAGAAAGCAGCAAATCAATTAAAAAATTTGTGGAAACTATTTGTAGATATTGATGCTTTACAAGTTGAAATTAATCCATTGGTTGAAACTACAGATAAACAAGTTATAGCAGTAGATGCGAAAATAACATTCGATCATAATGCTCAATTTCGGCAACAGGATTTGTTTGCTTTAGAAAGTTACGATATGAAAGATCCTAGAGAAGCTGCTGCATCACAATCTAATCTAAATTATATTGCTATGGATGGCAATATAGGATGTTTAGGTAGGTTTTATTATTTTAATATCATAGTAGTTAAAATAGGTAATATATTGTAATCAGTTTGAATTTACTTAAAATTTGAATCTGTGTGTTACGTTTAGTTAATGGTGCTGGCTTAGCAATGGCTACCATGGATATAATTAAACTACATGGTGGATCACCAGCCAATTTTTTAGATGTGGGTGGAAGTGTTAAAGAAGATCAAGTTTACCAGGCATTTAAAATTCTGAGCGAAGGTATGTATTGTAATAAGTATCCAAATAAGTAGTTACATTAGATTCATTATTGAAATTGAGAACTAAGTTTATCTTGATGCTTTTTGATTTAGTAATATTAGTATTAGTATTATTTACATATTGCACTAGAAAGCCTTACAAATGTATGAATTGGATTCGTAATTTTGGGTAAGTTTTATCTAAAAGTAATTCTGAATGTCTTATTTGATGTCTTTAGATCCAAAAGTAAAATCGATTCTTGTAAATGTGTTTGGGGGTATTGTAAATTGTGCTACAATAGCAAAAGGGATTATTGCGGCAGCTCGTAACTTAGAACTTAAAGTTCCGCTTGTTGTTAGATTAGAAGGTAATTATTTTTTTTATCTAGGTATTTAGTTATTTAGTATAATGGTTACTTTCCTTTTCTTTTCTTTTTTTAATTAGGTACTAATGTAGCAGAAGCAAAAAAGCTTCTTGCAGAAAGTGGTTTATCAATTCTTACAGCAAATGATTTAGATGAAGCTGCTAGAAAAGCAGTTTCTTCAGTAAAATCATAAACAGCAACTGTACTCTGTACTAAGTTCTTCCACAAGTAACATTTCATAAATGGCAGTGAATATTATAAAATCTGAACAATTGTATAATTTTTATATAATGCCAAGATATGAAAAGCTGAGTATCTGACTTTTTGTTTTCTTTTTCAAGTAATATCGGTCACCTAATGTAGGTAATTAAAAATATTTTCTATTTCTTTATTACAAAATTTGTTTTATTTCACTTTCACCTAATAAGTGTTACCAAATAGATATTATAGTAAAGATTTGATGATAGCAAAATGCTCTGGACCAAACTTTCGCTTACATGGTACAGTTCCTACATTGTTACAAGTTTGCCAACAGTTTCTAGTTGAGTTCGACTTGAGCTTTAAGTCCTTCGCTTTCATTTACAGATCTTTTTTACTTTCATTAAATCTTTACTGTAATTAGCTAAAATTATATACCTACAATTTATACATTTTAAATGACTAACTTTGATACTTTTATACTTTGTATACTTAAAAGGGTAAAGTAATAAAGACAATGTGGTTTTGTAAATCTGTAAGTAAAATAACTAAATATATTTTTAGTGACAATTAAACGTTTTCAGATTCGTCTTAGTAATTTATATTTTGTTTAATGAAAAAATATTATTGTTAGAGCAGAGACAGCTAAGCTGACTTTTGACTTCTCCTTTGCCATGTCCATTCCTCTCACATGGGTTGTGGTTAGAGATGAAATCAAATTCAATATGTACTCATAAATCCAAATCAAGTGTAAGTACTTGGATTATACCAGAGTGTATATATTTGTAACTTTTTTTGTAATCACAAAATGTTTATAATACAAGAAGTTCTGTGTTAAGCTCTTCCTAGGTTCTCCTTAGATTCTTTCAGAGTCCTCACAAAATTGAAGCAAATCGAGCTACCTATGTTGCATTTGATTTTTTTTCGCTAAACAAAGGACGTGCGTAGCCTGTCGGTTCTATGTTTGCGATAACAAGCGACGTGCTACACATATTTTTCCAGCACTAAAGGTTAAAGAACATGCCGATGAGATGTTGACGAGGCTAAGGAATGCGGGTACGATTGGTCGTCGTCGGTAAGTCACACCTCACGCACACGCATTCTAGATCGTCGCGCGCTATTGGCCGATGCGACCACACACTAATCGCGTCGCCTGACAAAAAAGAAAAATGAGACTTCGCGACAAAGCGAGATGGTACGAAGTCAGCGTTGCGGCGAACTTTGAACGCCAGGATCAAACGTGGGGACAAGGCGGAGCGTGCGAAGTGCTCCCTTTGCTCCTGTGCCGTCCCGCTCGTCAACTTCTCATCGGTCAATAGTAAATGGTAATGCTTCTTTTTATTTGAGGAAAGCTCATATTCTACAGGTATTCATCCTGGGGTTTGAAACCAACTGAACATGCTAGCCTTCTCTAAGGATACAGATGTAAGGGAAGAGAACTCAACCAATGGTGGATTATTTAATGAATCAATTCACTTTAAAACAAATGCTAAATCGAATATTTTTTAATGTAATTCAAATCAGATCTACCCAGGTGTAATGCATAGTGAGTTTGGAATATTAAATAGACTGGTGGAGTTTTCTTTCTCTACATAATGGCTGCGCGCTCGGGCGTGATCCCTCATTCACATGAGGTGGTAGGGGCACCTTCCCCTTTAGTGCTTTTTCACTAGACAAACTGACACTATGATTGATACTGTACATCACATTTTCCCTAGGGAAGACTACCATGCTCAGTCCTGTACATCACTTTGAAACATCATACATCCTCCTACTTTATCAAAAACATATAAAGAAAGTGGATAGAACTAGTTTATAATAAGAATATCGATTTTATGCCAGCATGTTCACCATCTGTTTAACATTGAAAAACAATTTTAAGCAATTTATCTTGATACTCTTGAATAAGTAATTGGAGACGGTAACAGATCACAATATACCCCAAAGTTTACGCTGTATTTGAGGTAAACTTGAAAATTGTTTCGCAAGGAAAACCGTATTTTGGCCACTGATTAGCGAATAAATCAACTTTAAGTGGCTTTACCGCATCCGTGCGAGATTTAATTGGAAATTAGTCACAACGTCTTAACACTTGTTCACGATTGACTCAACGGTACAGTTACTTTGAATTATTTGGAGATTACGTGTTACTTTTGAACCTCTATGACGTCAATTTTCACTTTCATGAGATTCTATGAAACTGAAAACTTTTATAAAGTTTAAAGCCAAGCTGAAGTATATAATTTTTAAAGTGTAGTGATTTTAAGTTACTATCTGACGTCATAGAAGAAAATGGAGGATGTAGTGAAAGAAATATCTAGCGTAATAAATTACGATAGACAATAGATATGAAGAAAAAAAGATAAGGGACGAATTAGAAAGATCGGCGTGTGTGTATATATAGTTCTTCTTTGCTCATAGAGTAGGAGGGTGTTGAAGAGAGGGTGGCGAAGAGGGGACAGCTATTCTCGGAGTTCGTCGCTACGTTTTCCCTCTCTTCCAAATTCGGCGGCAGTAAACGTCAGTAAAGCTTTGTAAATCGCAACGAATAGTGTAAAGGATTCCTTCTTTTTATCATTATCATTCAAGTTTCAAGTGGTTTTTCCTCGTATTACGATTTAGTGCGTATCAAAGTGCATTAGTGCAAGTCAAATTTCTAAGAATATTTCATAATAGTGTGAATACAAGTTACCCATCAATTTGTGAATAAGGTAGTGATAAATATCTGTGTTTAATTAGAAGAAAAAAGGTTACAATCTTTGATATTTATCTCTTATATTCGGTTCGTACCTTGCTACTGTATTTATAGCTACGAAATAGGCATACTGTTCATAGTGTCAATGTCTACCGTATATAATTTAGTTCCTCCTAGTGAAATTTGACTATTTATAAAACTTCACTTTCACTTTGTATTTTATTGGTATTCGAAATTATATTTATTAATTTATAGCACCCCTTAACCCTCGGATGGCGGACCATGGAGAAAGCCCCAATTTTAATTTAATTTTTTAACGTTGCTTCAACATCAAAGGCTATTAATTTAACTTTGTATTTTATAATATTTTCTTTTTTTTAATTTTAAACTGTTACTTCAACAATTATTTTTCCAATATATGAAACTCCATGTATGTAATTTATAAGTCTGGCTCTCGATTGACCCAGACTCCGCTGTTCATGGGTTAATGGTTAATGGTTAATGATAGAGTTATTAAAATTGTGAGTTTTCTTTAAACAAATTTCCTTAGAAAAATTTTTTCAAAAACAAAGTCGAATATAACAAAATTTTATTCTATATTTTCGGCTAATTTTTTTTACATAGAATCAACCCCCTTTCGGTTGCACCATCAATATTGAGACACCCTGTAGTCGAAATCATAATTTATATCTCATTCTATTGTTTTGTTTTGTTGTTGTATTCATTATTAAATAAAACATAATTAATTATGTTTATTATTAAATAAATTGAAGCTAAAAGAAATTAGGAAATATATTAGGGAAAAGGATTGATCCTAGAAACCAAGAGTAGTATTGCGAATGGTCTAAGGATGGCTTAACTTGATAGTTAATTTTCTAATTTTTTAAATATTTTACTATGTGCACTTTTTTCGTAGAATATGACTTAGTTGCACGTGTATATGCAAGTTTATTGCACTATGACGAAATTGTGTACATCGTCTATTGTAATTTTGCAAGTTGCAATCTATTGTTGTTTTTATTTTAGGTAATACATGTATGCTTTTTTTTTCTTTTTTGTAATGGTAAAAAATGTAGATTTACATTTTTTACATTTTGTAGATCTACATTCTTTTATTTGTACATTTTGTGTGATAAAATGATATCAATTAATAAGCGAACAAGTGAAAAATTTTAATTAACGCGCAAACAAATACCTATAACGCTTCTTACATTTGTTGCAGCTATAAATAACGAGACAATAGGTATTGGAAAGTATAATCTATCTAATTAGTTTAATTCATGTTTTGCAAGTTTAATACTTCGTTATACCATAGTAGCAATCTTTATTGTTCTCCATGTGATTTACATATACTTTAAATAATAACTAGAAACTCGATATGTACATTAAATAATCTTTATCGAGGTTACTATGCATTGTTTGCAAATATATTTTAGTAAAATAAAGGTCAGCTTTTCCTGAATTAAATTTTGCATAGGGTTTTTGATTGTCAATTAATCCATATTTCAATACACATTTTATTGAATTAGTAAAAACTATGATATAAGAAGTATTCAAGAATCATAAATGTTGATCGAGATCAAATCAGGCTTCGCTAAGGAAAATGGCGATGTAGTGGAAACTGGGCTTCTCAAAACCTTAATCTTGACTATATTAACATTAGAACGATTTAGAAAAAGAAATAATACAAGTTTGGATTATTAAATATTATAGAATTTAGTATATAACTGAGAAATATGTATAACATATAAATATCAATTCAAATTCTCCCGCGTAAGCGTTTATACGCGAGTGGTGGGAGGTCATAGATCTATACATATATGGGGCCTCGTTCGCCGCCTTATCATTTTCCCTGGAGATGTCGATGGGGAAGGATGGGAAGAATTCAGGACAATATCACTTTTTTCTAGGAAAGCCTGATTTGATCACGAGTGTACACAAAACTTATGGATATAATTATACAGTTATAAAAAAGGAATTTAAAATTTTTTGCGGAATTCGAGTCGTCGCGCCAAATCATTCTGTAGCATGTAGCATTAGTTTTATTTCAATTTAAAATCTTTTTTTTTTAATATACCGTAATTTGTTGTACTGTAATTTGTGCTTATGTTCATCAATTTAATGTAGTTCTTATGCTTAGGAGATTAACATTTCTTAATACTGACAATTTGTTTATATTGCTCTTCTTATTTAATTAGTTTGACGAAGTAGTTGATATTCTGCAAAATGTAAATTCGCAGTTCAACTGTCGCGACAGTTGCGACATGTCGCCTGTAACAAGTAGCATACTAAGGACAAACTTTGCCGTAGCGAAGGGGTTAAAACTTCTTATCTAAAACTTGAATGTATTTGTTGAGTCAGAAACAGCAGAGCAGTCAGAATAATAATTTCTTCTTATGTATTTGTTTAGCTGGTCTTGAAAGTGAAAATTCAGAAATAGGTGTAGATAATTTGAAATGTACTGTTAAGTTGGAATAGTAATATTTAAATTAAAATTAGAA